AATTAAATAAAAGAAGTAACTATTCTCCCAGCTAGCACATTATAAAACTTCCTAATTTCTCTTCTTTCTTTGCCATTTTATTATTTTTTCCCTCAAGCCCTCAACCTTACTTGCCTCTCTTTTCTTTATAATTTCTTCCTTTATTAATCTCAGTATAATTCCTACCAAATTTGTTTAAAAATTGCTGGGTGTCAAATATTTGTTCCTGAAGACCAGAATTCTTGTTTTCCCTAGCTAAGCATCCAGCCAGAAAGATAAGGTCTGACAAGTTCTCAGATATTTTCACAAGATTTCTCAGTTCATCAGGAATGCTTAATCTTCTTCCCATACAATCATACAAGGAAAGAATACTCAAATTTACAATTCATTCATAAATACACTAAGAGCAAAATGCTGTAGTGGGAATAAAGACGTATCTGTAAATTGCCTTATTTGATAACAAAAATCTTAATGGAACTAGTGTTTACTTGTTATAAATTACTTTTTTCAATGTCTTAATGCTGCTGTACTATGTACCAAATTGAACTATTCCTTTTGCTTTGCATACTGCAGTAGCCTTCTTTAACATTTATCCATTCTCATGTATTAGGATAGAGACCTACATAACCAAGTAAGTAATATCCAGATTTAAAAAAGTAACATTAAGGGGTCCTGAAGGTACAGGACAACAATAGAAAATAAAGAGCTCATTTTTAAACAATCTTTTCAAAGGAGCTGTCTTGTAAAAACTGTTGAAAAATCGCTTAGTTCCTTTGAATGTGTTCTGTTTGAATATCCCAACATGGAAATGTCTGAGGAAATTAAACAATGCCAGGGGACATTCTTGGGCATTGGGACTCCACCATTATTGTTACTGTTAAATTGCTGGAGCTGTTCCTGGCCCACAGTGGTCAGCGCTCCCCAAGCAATCAGCGTGCACGGTTCAGAGGCTACAGAGGGGACAGGGATTATTCCCAGTAGGCAGCTTCCCTACAGCCACTCTGTTTGAGCGGGAAGGTGAGTTTAATACAGTGGATGCAGGCCAGCTGGCCTCTGAGATTAGCTTGTATCCTAGACTGCTCTCTGGCGCTGAGACCAGTGGTCTGAAACAGCCTGCTTCTGTCCTTCAAAACACTCTGAGCTTACAGAGTGCTTGCATCCACATTGCTTATTAGGATGGATCCCTGGTTCACTCAACTTCCAATACCGTGCCTGAGGATTGTTTGAGCAAATGTTAATTGTCCTAGGCTTAACAATACCAAGAGCTGTTCTGATGTTTCACAGCCTGGAATAGTCAATTCCAATGCCCAGGAAAACTCCTTGGCGCTGCTTTAATTATAATAAGACAATGTGGCAATAATTAGAAATAAGCTGAGAGGGTTCAACCACTCTCTGAGACAGGGATCCTGGGTGGGTGAGAACAGTCAAAGCAGTGTAAGCTTCAGAGACAAAGCAGAGGGTCAGGCCTGAAATAACTTGCTTTGTGAAAGGAGCAGAAGGAAACCTACAAAGATTAGAGAAAATAATTTAATGGAATTTTCAGCTTTAGAGGGAAGATGCTTAATATGAAATATTCTTTTAAGCTCTATTTTATGTATCTATGTAATTGGATCCCAGCTGGATTCTTCCAGGGAAAATTGAAATTTCCTTGCATTGTTAGCTTTGTGAAGATGGCATCACTGTGACTGTCATCTACAGACAAACTGCATGTTTTATGTTGAGTGGAGGAAGAGAATGTATTTACTGTTGTCTTGACTTTTCCTTCCCTTACCTTGTCTGCCCTTTTTCTGGCTCTCCTGACTGTGCTTTGCTTTTGAATAATGCAACTCACATTGAGGATTTTTTTAACTTTTGTGTTGGCAATACAAAACCTCTGCTGACTTAGAAGCAGGTTTATGGATGAGTAGCTCTCTTCAATGAATGTGTCACTTTTCATAAGAAGAGTGGAAGGAAATTACTTTGGGGTATGAGGATGTTTGCCAAAGTTGTGAGAAAGTAGGTAGAAGTCGTGAGCTGGTAGGAGGATGAGGTGATAATTTATAGGGCAAGTGCAAAAGCATGAAACTGCTAAAAAGGTAACACTGAAGTTTATCTGAGGAGATGAGTGTTCAGAACTGTTAGCCATTACTGATTGCCTCTCCTCAAAATATCACCTGGCTGGGGTTTTTCTTGGTAAAACAATTACATTTTCTTTTTCATTGAGCTCATCTCAGCTAAATAAAATTTATTAATTACAACCACTAGGCCAGGTTGCACAAAACCTCATCGAACCTGGCCTTAAAAACCTCCAGGGATGGGGCATCAACAACCTCCCTGGGCAACCCATTCCAGCTCCTCACCACCCTTAGAGTGAAGAACTTATTCCTAATATCGAACCTAAATCTCCCCTGTCTCAGTTTAAAACCAGTATCCCTTCTCCTATCACTATCTTCTCTGATGAAAAGCCCCTCCCCTAACATTTTACTTTGGAAATGTTTTGTATTTATATAGATAGCATTTTGCTAGTGAAAGTAGTTTTGAAATACACTGTATTGCATTCAAGCTGATAGATTTTTCTTTAGTTATTTGGCTCCTTGGGATGTGTTTCTGTTAGTACTATCCACTAACGTTGTCAAGGTTAACGCCTGACTTCAAAATATGTAACTGAGTCTCTTCAGACTGGGATCCAAATCTTTATATTCAAATTAAAAGGATTCCACACCATGGCTTTAGTTTTGACTTGTTTTAAGGGAAGTAAAATAGTACTAATTTTACCCTTCTTTCTTCTCTGTCCCTTACCTCACAAAGACACATATATTCTTAGCCTTTTTTCTGTGATTATCTTTCTTTCCCCTTGCTTTGCTCCCACAAATCATATCTTTATATTACAACCATGCTGGCATATTTGATGTTTTAGTAGTAAAAAATATTAATAGTTAGATATGGTGCTAAGATAAGGAGATGGAAAATAGTTAATATGTCAGGATATCTGCATCCCATTAGAACTGGAATTTTGCTTCTGCTCAGTTTGGCTTGCATTCAACGTGCTCTGGTTTTGAAAGAATAAGCAACCCAAGCTGATTCCTACGCTTATGAATAAAGCTGTACTGTAGACTGCACATGAATAAATCCAGGCAGTCATTTTTATTGTAGTCAAAGAGCATTTTTACCCTATGCCCACAAATGTTCTTGGTAATCTGTGAAAGAGGCCTCTGAATTAATAAGTGAAAATAGGCATCTTCCTCACCCCTTCCCTTGGCAGAAGTACATGGTGAGCAGTCGTCAGCAGTCACGAGGGAGCTCATGTAGAAGCTTATCCACAGACAGATGTTTTTCCAACTGAATCTTCAATTGGCCCACTTGTACTTGTGCCTTATGACATGACCTTTAATTAAACAGTCAAAGACTACTTTTCCACCCAGCTTCTGCCTCATTCAGCGCTCAATATGGATGAGAGTGCACTGGAAATTGAATAGGCTTGGGCAATAAGGGGCATTCGTCGTTAGGGATATCTCAGCTTAGTAAAATGAGGTCACTACTGTGATTCGGTAAGATTCTTGCTAACTTTATTCTTTCAAGCCAGGCAAATGGGCAGCTAGCTTCCTCACAGTTTCATTCATAGCCACAGAAGTTTAAGAACATAAGAGCGCACACACTGTTTGAAAGCATAGGGCCATCCTGTCTCTGACAGCAGTCAAAAGTGGATGCATAGGAGAAAGTTTAAGAACAAGGCAATACTACCTGGAGGCATTCCCCCAAATGCCATGCTTTTGTGGCTCAGGGATTTCCTATCTTGAGAGATCTTTAATATAAATATTTAACCTCAGTTGATCTCTTCTCACCAGCATCCCATTAAACCCTTTAACGTCCTTTAAATTATTTGCTGTATGCCTCCTTGTGTGGCAAGGCTCATGGCCCACCTCCCCCTGCTCACCTTTAGCCTGCCATTTGCTGGCATTCACTGAATGGCCAGTCCCTATCCATTCTCACTGTGCAAATCATGCATATGTTGCACGTTCTTTCAAAAAAGAAGGATGCTGAGCAGAAGCCAGAGGATCTACCCAAGGTCCCAGAAAGCTGCCCAGAAGGCAGCCAGCCCTTGATTCTGCTGTTATCTGTGATAGCTTGGCCTGCCTGCCTGTGCAGTTATCAGAGATAGACATATCCTGTGGTATTTCTTCTACAGTGGTCCTTGGAGTAGAAGATTGTTGATGACTGAAATGGAAGATTTCAGAAAGTGTATCAGTGCTCTTTTGGCCAAATTGAGTGCCACTGTAGACAACTGGATTTTCTGTCTGATACAGCCACAGAATATCTGTGTGAGACCGAGCTAGTCCAATAGACGAGACTTTTCCCAGATGGCCATTAATTATGTGTTTGAAATCAAGGGGCTAGATTTGCAGAAGTGCTGAGCACTCACAGCTGCAGCTGATGTCATTGAGAACTGTACTTTGTACATGCAAAGCGCTGCCTAATGCCAAGTTCCCTGAAAAATCAGACCCTTAAAGTCTCATATTGGAGACTGCAATTAACAGATGCTCTTGACCTGAATTTGTGTTATGTTTCCCCCTTTATAATGGAAGGCTGATACTATCCTGTTTCATTGGAGTGGTAGATTTTTAAGTTCTCAGGCACTACCACAAAAAGCATCACAATGCAGCCCACTCAATAACAGCTATGCAGTTCGGAGGAGTTTTCCATCCTGTGTGGGTTACGAGGTCAAAATCTCAAAACCGGTGACTAAACAGGGTATGGCACAAGTATCTGCCTATTCTGCTGGCATTAGCTGTTCTGGGTACTGATCTCACTAGATAAAAACAACATATGTACTGCTCATGTAACAGGCAGCTTTTATTATTCAGTGGAAGTAGAATTTATGTTGCCCAAGTAGCCTTAGTTCTGGCATCTTCTGTTTTTCCTGTAGTTTCCCAGAACTTGTCAGAGTGTTTGTTTGGACACTGTGTTTGAGACATCAGGTCAGCCTGAACTGATTTGCGCTTTAAAGTTCTGGTACAGTATTTTTGTTTGCGTTTGCCTTCCAGAAAATACTTGCAACAAAAAACGTCTGGACCTTGTCTTCATCATCGACAGCTCTCGCAGTGTTCGTCCTTACGACTTTGAAAAAGTGAAGGAGTTCATTTTAACCATCTTGCAGTTCCTGGACATCAGTCCTGATGCCACCCGCGTGGGTCTGATTCAGTATGGCAGCACAGTGAAACATGAGTTCTCGCTGAAGACATTCAGAAGGAAGCAGGACATTGAAAGAGCAGTGAAGAGGATGATGCACCTGGCAACCGGCACCATGACGGGACTGGCCATCCAGTACGCGGTGAACATTGCATTTTCAGAGTCAGAAGGAGCTCGACCTCTGAAGCAGAATGTGCCCCGAATTATTATGATTGTGACAGATGGGAGACCTCAGGATCCAGTGGCAGAGATTGCCGCCAAAGCACGTAACTCAGGAATCCTGATTTTTGCCATTGGAGTGGGAACAGTAGACATCAACACGCTGAAGTCCATTGGGAGTGAGCCGCATGAAGAGCATGTGTTTCTCGTTGCTAATTTCAGTCAGATTGAAACACTGACCTCTGCCTTCCAGACTAAACTTTGTGGTAAGGCTTTATCTATATATTTGAATGCACAGATGAAAGTAAAATACAGAAAAAAAAAAGTATATATATTGTCAATTAACTCTTTTTTTTAAGTCAAACCTTATCTGTTAGAGTATAGACACTGAAAAAAAGGAAGACTGGCCAGACAACATTCAAACAGCAGTCATACATATGGGGAAAAGATAATTCTACTGCTTTGTGCCATAAAGTGTGATCTAATTCCTAGTGGTCATCACCAGTGAGACAAACACATACACCATGATTTTCCTGTTAAATGCAGTACATTTATAGCCCTCTGCTATTGGAGTATTAGATTAGTTGTTTCATCAACTAATTTTAAACATCATCTCCCTTAGTAACTGATAAACAGTTTTTTGGTTATTAAAAAAATTCTGCGTTCATGGTATATCTTCTCCAAAGCTTACATATTAATTCTGTGCAACCAATTATCTCTGCACATGCCTTGTAACTGGAAGTGATACACAGACATGTGGTAGCTTTGTTTTTTCCATCCATTTTGAGTACAGAAATTTAGGAAAAGTCATTACAGTTATATTATTCATTCATACAATAAAGTAAATAATATTTTAATAGATATTAATTTACAAGAGAAAAATTGCTTCCATCTGCAAATCCCTGATAAGAGATTGCTTTTTAAAAATTTTGTGACATTTGTAATGAGTTTTTCGGCAGTCTTTGTACTTAATATAATTTATTTTTCCAGGTTTTTTTGTGAGATAAATGTGAAAGATTTTCATACAGATTTGGCATTAAACTGAAGCATTTTCTATAGAGTCCAGAAAAAGAATGCATGGTGAGATTGAATGCTCGCTCATCTCTAGGGATGCTTTTGCCAGAAAATAATGGGGGCTTATTGTCAGAATAGCCTCAAGAATTTTCCTTACTTAGTCTTTTCCAAAACTGTTTCAGAGAGCAACAGGGCTCCAGCTGAACTGCATCAGCACAAAACACTGTCACAGACATGCATCAGATAATAGATTTTTTCCTGTTTCTTCATTGCTGTATTATTAGCTGGCATAGTAAGATACATTTAAAAACAAACAAACAAAAAGAGTAAACATAGATTGAGAGTTGAAATTGAATGAACAGCAAATGCTTCAGAATTTCATCTTCGATTTTTTAATTAAAATTTAATTTTTAATTTTTAATTTGTTTAGAAACAAATCCAGTACAAATACAACTTACTTGTTTTTTTCTGACTAGGCAGTGTCCAGGTATTGTATTAGAGTTTTATAGCCCACTTTTAATGGAAATAGATGCGTTCCTCAATAAAACCACCAGGCCCTGCAGGTGGAGGAATAGAAGGATGGCTGCTACCTCCTTTTTTCAGGGAATGCCTCCACAACATTTACTGTGTCATGAACTGAAGGTGAGATCCAAAAAGGCATTTAGAAACCCAGGCTCAGGTGCAACAAAGTATTTAAGCTGTAAAGTTCTTGCGGATTTCAGCTTAAGGGACTAAGTTGTGGTTAGAATTCTTAATGTTTTACTGAATCTGGACTGGAGGAGTGGCTAACACACCAGAAGGCTGTGCTGCCATTCAGAAGGACCTAAACAGGCTGGAGATTTGGGCGGGGAGAAACCTGATGAAGTTCAACAAGGGCAAGTGTAGGCTTTTGCATTTGGGGAAGAAAAACACCATGTACAATTATAGGTTGGGGCTGACCTGCTGGAGAGCAGTGTAGGGGAAAGGGACCTGGGGGTCCTGGTAGACAGGAGGATGACCATGAGCCAGCAATGTGCCCTTGTAGCCGAGAAAGCCAATGGCATCCTGGGGTGCATTAGAAAGGGTGTGGTTAGTCGGTCAAGGGAGGTTTTCCTCCACCTCTGTTCTGCCTTGGTGAGACCACATCTGAAATATTGTGTCCAGTTCTGGGCCCCTCAGTTCAAGAAGGACAGGAAACTGCTGGAAAGAGTCCAGCGCAGAGCCACAGAGATGATGAAAGGAGTGGAACATCTCCCTTATGAGGAAAGGCTGAGGGAGCTGGGTCTCTTTAGTTTGGAGAAAGGGAGACTGGGGGGTGACCTCATCAATGTTTACAAATACGTAAAGGATGAGTGTCAGGAAGATGGAGTTAAGCTTTTTTCAGTGATGACCAGTGATAGGACAAGGGGTAATGGGTTCAAATTGGGGCACAGGAGGTTCAAGGTGAATATCAGAAAACAGTTTTTTTACTGTGAGAGTGACAGAGCCCTGGGACAGGCTGCCCAGAGAGGTTGTGTAGAAGAGTGAGAAGGACAGAAGTTGGGATGAAGCAGTCAGGAGCAAATAAAGTTTTTCTTGTACTCCTCTAAAGTAGATAATAGTGTCATCCTCATTTTACCTTGGAGGAACAGAGTCACAGAAACAGGGTTGAGACCTAAGATCACTCACTGACATTAAATGTTTGGTTCAGTGCAGTCCCTGGTCTGACATTCGGGGCCATTTGGCATTTTTAATATCACATACCAGTCATAGGTCTACAACTGTCATTTGCAGCTGAGAGAGCCCTGCATTCTTGCAAATCCAGATTCAGGTGTCATTAGCTGAACACACACAGTGTGTTGAAAATACTGATAGCGTTGGCTTGCCCAAAAATCAAATAAGGACCCTGTGACATAGACAAGAGGTAAAATCTAATTCACAAGGCTCACATTCAGATTCCTTAACTATGAGATCACCCTTTCTGTTACTTCAGTCCCTGGCTATGTCCACCAAACACCTCATGAAAGAAATGACGTTGCAGAAATCATGCAGACATCAGCCTCCATCACCACAGAAATCTGACTAATGACCAGAGTACCACTGCTTCTTTGAAATGGGTGCAGCAGAGACACTTTGGAAGAAATTTTGTGTGATACTATATAAGAACATAGTAAGAGATGGCAACAATATGTTATCAGAAGGAACTGAGTTATTGGAATGCCTATCATTGAATAATTATTTGTTTATTTATTTATTTATTTTAGTACTCTCTTTTGCAACCTTATGTTCTTTTGGTATGAGAGGACTGACTTTGTAGTAGTGTTCTACAGATTCACATTCTATAACATTAGTATATAGTAAGATTTTCTGATGCTTAAACTACTGAAATTAGTGTATTTTTCATTTGTCATATTTGAAAGTGCTTCTTTGGTCATATCTGATATTGAAAACTAGTGAAATATAGGCAGGAGAGAACTTCTGTTTAGAAAGTATCGAAGGTCATAAACTTCATTTTCAGAATGACAGAAAGATGAAAAGACAAGAAGTCCAAACAAGTCTTTATTCACATGAATAAAAATACTTGAAAAGTTTATTATGACAGAAAATTATGAGATCCAAAAAGCTGATTAAGAGATTGGGAATTGTGGTGGTTTGTATATGAGCAATAAACGCATAACTGGTAACCATTCCAGAGACCACCTTTTTTTTTTCCACAAGCACCACACATACCACATACTAAGTTATTTATCAGGCTTCTGTTGTGGCTGCTAGAAGATTTCTGTTATAATTTAGAGCTTCGTTGACCTAGCACAATAAGGAGCACATCAATCCCTAATTGTTTCTGAGCATTAGAGGTTATTTTCTACATAATGTTCTCTGAGAAGCAATTCACCTATATATTATAGAAATTGCATACAAGCAATGCTCCAGTGGAAAAAAACCCTCAAGGAGATTTCTTAATTCCCAAATATGATCTGGAGAAATGTAGTTCAGCAACAAATTTGACAGAATGGGCCTACTGTTCTTTTTCTTTCTTACTCTCTGTCTGTTACATTTTACTACTTCCTATTACAGACATAAAACACAAACAGATTAAAGACTCAGAAAGACTTATGCTCTGGAGTGTAGCTTGGCTCAGCTCCTACTTACCAAATTGTGGAGATGCATGACCTCAGTGTTGTCATGTATTTCTTGTGTGTTCCTCAACAGTAGTAACTAAACAAGCAAGATTCTGTGGTAAGTTGTTTCGTAGTCAGACCAGAAGTTAATAATGTTTTCCTTGTTTTCTTTCAGTGCCCCATATGTGCAGTACAGTTGAGCATCACTGTGATCACTTCTGCATAAATACCCCTGGCTCCTATGTATGCAGATGTAAACAAGGATACATTCTGAATGCTGACCAGAAGACTTGCAGCAGTATGTTATCTTCCTTAGCTTTTCTCTTTTGTGCTACCAAAAAGTTTTTATAAACCTTTCTGAAATACATCAAGCTAATTTTTATACCCGGCTCTGTAGCTACATAAAATAGCATTAACATTTTATTGGTGTAATAAGTTCAACAATGAAGCAACAATCAAAGAAAGAACTTTTTTATCATCTAACATGAAGTGAATCCAACTACTATAGTAGCTTGTCTAAATCACAACCAGTACTAAGTAGTATAGAAAGGTGCAATAAACCCCATTCTAGAGAGCTGTGAAATAACAACTGGCCATTATGGAAAGCTCTCCCTAACTGCTGCTTGAAGCATAATGGTTTGCAACCATTTGAATAAAAGTTTCAGAAGTCTTGCTTATGCTCTAGTTTCCTTAAGTTTTAGTAATTGGCTTTGTAGTTTTAGTAATTGGCTTTGTAGTTTATAATAACAACCTGTATTTCACTTTAATTGTGATCTTTGTAAGCAGTATTTTGTTTGTACTTACTTGCTTCCTAGTAACTGACAGTAGACTATATTAGATGGTTATGCCAAATGTATTTTTGTGTCCACCGTTATATTAAAGAAATTATGTTATACTATTTTAAATTATTTGTGGAAAATGCACTTGCTAAAAATACAGTTTCCTATCCTAAGATAGTGCCTGGGTTCAAGTGCAATTTGCCAAACTGATTTTAGTCAGAATAAAAGTTTTAGAAAATGTGTTTTCAAAAAGCTGGAGGAGATAGTCATGGTAAGAGTATATAGGATGTGCCCCTCACAATTGATAATTTAGAATTAAGGTGAAGGATGCAGGTTCAAATTGTGTTCTTCTGTTTGGATTTGCATGTTCCACATTGCAGGAGAGGGCTGTAAATCATGTAGCTTGGGATTAGAGGATCCTGTCTCTCTAGCTTAGTGTTGTATACTTAATGACCTCTGAAACAGCAAGCATATATCAGTAGCTGAGGTGACTGCAGTTTGGGGATTAGAGTCTTTACATGTGCAGTGGGACACATGGTTTTAGTCAGTCTCAGTGAACTCAGAGTCTCAGAGTCAGGAATGAGAGCAAAAAGGATGTCAGCACTGGAGGGATTCGGGCATTCTCGCAGCTGCCTGGAAGCACATTCAGACCCTTTGGGCTACAAGAGAAAACTGCATTTGAGCTCCCCACCTCCTATGCAGTTGATCTGTGAGATGAGTTATTTTTAGGAATCTCTGTTTTCTAGTCCTTCTCACTAGCATCCTTCACCAAGTGCAGACATTTGTCAAATGCATGTGTGTAAATTATAGAGGAATGTTTTGTGTTACATGGAACCAACTTAACACTATTTCTGGTTTAGTTTCCTCAGGAAGATACAAAAAATTTCAACCCAGTCTTGAATATTTCCTAATTATTATTTGGTTTAGAAGCCAAGCCAAGATGGGAACATGACAAAAACAATTTTTCACACAGCCTATTTTCTCTGCTTCCTCCTATTTGCTATATATAGCTCTTCAGAAAAAGGGCAGTCAGAATCCCAAATGATGCCTCCAACTATATAATAATATGTAAACAATATTCTCTAATCTATTATTTTCATTGTGTCCCTCATTTAAAACTTTTGTATCTTTTAAAGCTTTCTTTTAAACCTCCTCTCATGATATTTATTTTCTTAAGGAATTTTTAGGAGAGAATTTGCTTTCAATTTCCTATAAATTATTGGAAATTCAAAACTACTTTTTAAATTTTTTTATCTTCCATCACACATTTTGCCCATCCTCACCCCTAACATCAGTTTTGACATTTTTTTGTGTGTGAGTCAGTTAAAAAAAGTTAAATGACAAGTATGAAAAGCTATTTCTTTATTGTGCCTTCTTCATTTTCATTGTGATATTTTTTCATAATTTTTATCAGCCAGTAGTTCAGCTTTTGAGCACTGCGCTGCTTCATATTAGAGATTAATTTCCAAGAGAGTTTTGGAAATGTGTGTAGTTTTCCTGCTGGTGACCCATGCACAGTACTCCTCAATATGTTTTGTCTCTACCATTATTCAAAACCCATTGCTGCATTGCTTTACTTTTTTTTTTTTTAGCTATGACTTAGTCTTATATTAGTTTTTCCAAATTACCTGTCACTCAGGATTTACTGGACAGTGTACTTGCTTTGATCATCAGTCAGGTGATACTAGATTTCAGTTTGCTAAATTTGAAAGGGAAGTGAGTCATTCCATGTATTTGTAGCCTACTTCTGGTGGACATTTTTCTGCATTACCAAACTATAAACTAATTTTTGCAATTGGCAGTGGAAATCTAATTTTGAGAACCATCAAACTGGCCTTAAATGTGCTAGAATGTTGCAAGGTATTGGTGAAGGAGTGAGATGGTTCCCTAGCAGTGTAGGTAAGGTCAGACTACTATGTCTAAAACCTCCCCAGGGAGGTAGCAGAATTCATGAGGACAGGGGACCAAGCCTGGACAAACTGGACAGCTTATTTCTGGAGGTAAGAGGAAGCATGGTGATAGAAAACCCACAGTCTGTGACCATTTTAGTTACCTTAATTGGCTGCTGCTTGTCCACAAGCGCACAGAGACAACACGTTCCTCGCTTGACCTCTATAATAAATCTTCATAATGTTTATGCGTCGTGAAATACATTACCAACATAAACCAGATGGTTTTTTCTATAGTTTGGATTTATTTGTCAGCTCTTTCTTGAATAGTTTGCTTATGTATGCATTTTAAAACTTTCTAAACTGAACAACATAGAAAAGATGAATGGTATGTATCTAAGTGACAATGTTGCTTCAGGCTGGGAAAGCGTGCAATTTCTCTTTTGAATAGATGATAGTTTCATTCTTCAATACATTTCGTGATGGCTTTATTTCTAAACATTATTTTCCCTTGCATTAAAGGATGAAAATCTGCCATATTTGTGATTTGTTGCTTTCTACGTGAAGGGGAAAAAAAAATAATTAAAAAGCAAGTAATATGTCTTCCAGAACAAAATCAGGGAAAAAGAATTATTTTTTTAACTTGAAATATTCTTGTATTTATTTCATTAAAATCTCTTCCCTTCTTCTCTAGAGATGTTCAGACCTTATAATAATACACAGAAAGTACAAAAGAGGAGATATAGCTGAAACGAGCTGGAAAATTATCTGTTTGTGGGTGTTTATACTGGACCAAGAGAGTTCAATGACTACTTATGGTGTTCATCATGCCACTTGAAATGAATCAGACAGATATAAAAGAAAATTCATATTTGCTGGGCTAGTTTCCTCAAACATGGAGAGAGGGATAACTTGCTATGGTATTTTGCATAAAACTTGAAAACTATAAAACTCAGAAATTAAATATCCCCAAGTTTTTTTAGTGTTGCATTTTCCTTTTTTTTATCCTTTCCCACTTTGTCATCATTTGTCAGGGAGGGGTTTGCAAAAAAACAAACAAACAAAAAACCCCTGCAATTATTATTTTTTTCCAAAAAAAAACTCCCAGAAGACTGCCCTTCAGACTTTTAAGAGAAACTTACAGTCAAGCAACTCTACGAGTCATCATTGGCCCATCATTAGTCATTGGTTTCAGCTGAAGGAATGAGCTCCTCAGCTTTGAGTGATATTTCCTGCTGGCATAAGACTTTCTGCGTTTGGCAGATATTGGTATGAGCTGTGTTAAAATGAGCTCTTCTCTAAGGACCTGTTGATAGCTTTCTGAAACTTACATTGTTTTAGTCTTCCTGTGCATTATAGAAGGTCAAATAATTTAGTATTCATGCAATTATGTTTTGTAGCTCAGGACCTCTGTGCTGTGGAGAAACATGCCTGTGAGCAGATCTGTGTGAACACACCTGGGTCTTACGTCTGTCAGTGTTATGAAGGGTATGAGCTTGATGCAAATGGAAAGGATTGTGTTGGTGAGTATGAGTTTAGGAATTCATGTTTATCTTTTTGACACAAGCCAAAGAGAAATTCAATGTAAACTAATCCAGTTTAGACACAGACAATGATGGGAAGCTCTCTCCTCCTATATGAGTGGTAGATAAGGAAAAATAAATTTGGGCTTGTTCAGCGTGGAGAAAAAAAGGCTTAGGGGAGACCTCATCACCATGTTCCAGCACTCAGGTGGCTACCAAGAAGGTGGAGAGTCTGTTCTTTACAAGGAGGAAAAGACATGGGGTAATGGGTGCAAGTTACTCTTGGGGAGATCATGATGGGACATAAGAAGGAAATTTTTCACTATGAGAACAGTTGGACTTTGGAATAACCTCCCCAGGGAAGTGATGGATTCCCCAACACTGGACAATTTTCAGCTTGACAAGGTGTTGGGCCATCGCACCTAAACCACCTACCAAGAAGACTTGGACCAAATGATCCTTGACTCCCTTCCAGCCTGGCATTCTATGATTCTAGTTGACCATTCCTTTCTGTGGAGTATTTATTATCAAATGGCAGGATCAGAAGAAAGATCTTGATCTACACATATATGAGAGACCAATGAGTGCAATGACAATTTTGCAAAAAGCAGTGACTTCATTAAGGCTACTCTCTCTTCTTCCTCCAAAGAACTAAGAGAATTTCAGTAGGACATATACATCACAAGTCTCTCAAAAAGCCAAAATTTTCTCTCTAAGGTATATAAGACTTCTAAAATTTTAAGTCCAGCAAGAGTAAATGAGAGAGTGCAGAAAACTCATTTCACAGGCAGGTTTATTACGTTTTCTTCCTCCTTTCTGATGGACTAATTGTGCTGGTTAAGGATTAAAGGCAATGCTAATTGCTTTATTGACACATCAGCCCAGTTACCTGCCTGGCAACAATTAAATAAAACCTCACAACCAGCAGCTCACAACTTATCCCTTCAAAGTGTCCACTAAACAGCTAAACACCGGGAGTGTTTGCAACACACAGTTTATGAACAAATTTGTAGACTAAACAATATTTGAAACTGTCTCAGTGATAAGTATAGCTGGCAGAGCACTATTACTTTGCCTTTCTAAACAGCTTTAATGTTAAATGCCCTCCTTTCACATGAACAAAATCCTGTCAGTTAAAGTTTGGCGGTAACAAGCCATTCTTTCTCCTTCACGCTGCTGGACTCTTTAAGTGTCTTCTCCTTCTTATTGTTGCTGGGCATGCTGTTCTGTCTTTCCTGGCACTGGTGCTAGACTGTTCCTGTACTGCTGCAGCTGTTGGGCTTGGGATCTGTTCTACTGGCAGTGGTTTGGCTGCTGACACCTCTGCAGTCCTGGCACCGCTGCCCTTTTTTGGCTGCTTTCTAGGTTCTTAAAAGTCTTCTATGAGGCTGCTCTAACTTTTTCCC